AAAGTGGATCTACCAGTTGATGCAGCAATCCCGCTGCTGGGTATCGAAAGGAAAAAAGTCATTCATATGAAAAAGACACTTGCACATGTATGTTTATACCAGGACAATTTGCAATTGCAAAGATGTGGAACCAATCTAAGCGCCCATTGACTAAAGAGCCGATAAAGAAAATGTGCTATATATACACCACAGAATACTATTCAGCCATTAAGAGGAATGAAATAATGTCTTTTGCAGCAACTTGGATGGAGCTGGAGGCCATTATTCTAAGTGAAGTGACACAGGAATGGAAAACTGAAAACCTTATGTGCTCACTTATAAGTGGGAGCTAAACTATGAGTGCACAAAGGGATACAGAGTGATATAATGAGCTTTAGAGGCTCAGAAGGTGGAAGATGGTGGGGGGTAGGGATAAAAAACTACACATTAGGTACAATGTACACTACTCAGGTGACTGGTGCACTAAAACTTCAGAATTCACTACTATATAATTCATCCATGTAACAAAAAACCAAGTGTACCCAAAAAACTATTGAAATTTTAAAAAGGGAAAAAAATATCAATCTAATAACAAAAAGTAAGCAAAGTCTCCCTCTGGTCACTTGAATAGTGTGGCATGTTAGAAGGGAGGAGGGGAAACAAACATCGTTTCCAGACAAAAAGTGTGTCTATTTTCCATTCATGTGTTTAAAACACTGTTATCTTCCAGGGTGTTCAATAAATCAATACATTTGCTTAAATGGTTATAATATAATTCACTAAAAAAAGAAATGGCTAGTAGTTTTAATAATGATTATTTTCAGTGTGCATCATTTAAATGATAATTTTATAAAAGTTACGAGATGAAGAAAATGACAGCTTGCTTTTAAATTTTTTCTGCCTTTTATCCAAAAACATAAAATTCATGAATGACTTGTGAAGTTATTTCACATACTTTGTACTAAAGATATATCTATTCAATAACTATTCTAGTGTTCCCCAAATAAACCTATTCTATATACAAAATAATTTCATCAATTTTTCTATTTGTTTTCCTTTGGCCACACCCTAAAGCAAAATTCATTGGCTAGCTTTTTATACACAAGTATACATTATTCCCCAAATAAACCTATTCTATATACAAAATAGTTTCATCAATTTTTCTATTTGTTTTCCTTTTGCCACACCCTAAAGCAAAATTCATTGGCTAGCTTTTTATACACAAGTATACATTATTACAAAACTTTTTCTTTGCTTTTTTTTTTTTTTGAGACAGAGTCTCACTCTGTTGCCCAGGATAGCGTGCAGTGGTGCAATCTCAGCTCACTATATGCAACCTCTGCCTCCCAGGTTCAAGCAATTCTCCTGACTTAAACTCCTGAGTTTCTGGGATTACAGACGTGCGCAACCATGCCCAGCTAATTTTTGTATTTTTAGTAGAGACAGCGTTTCACCATGTTGGCCAGTCTGGTCTCAAACTCCTGACTTCAAGCGATCTGTCTGCCTGGCCTCCCAAAGGGTTGGAATTACAGGTGTGAGCCACCGCACCCAGCCTTAGAATTGCTGGAAAGGAAAGATCTCATTTTCTATAACTAAGGGATTCACACTAAAGGATTTACTGGGCTGGAGCAGATCATATGATGGACAACAGAACAGCCAGCAAGGGTGAGTCTGAAGTGGCTCTCTTAAATATCTAGAACAAAGAACTCAAGAATAGATGTTTATGCTTTTATGTGGTATAAGGAAAACTGATAAGAAGGAACTCTTATCAAGAAAGTGAGCTCCTTCTACCATCTTGGGAAGTGATTTGTAAGATTGTCAAAACATGCTGTATTTGACGCACTGCATGACTACATGTAATGTGTACTTACAACTGCTAAGAATTAGAAAATGTTGTTACCTATAGTTGTCTTTATCAAGTTGATTATCATGATGTACAGTACTACAGAAATATAGAGGTGCCAACTCAGGTGTGCAGTATGCCTTTCTCTTTTCTCCAACATTGCTTACATATTTATTTAGGTGATTTCACAAGATTTAATAACACACATAGAAAATTCAATTGCAGTTAAAAATAACTCGAGACAATTTGATAAAGCTTAGATCTGCTAATAGTGATGTACATTCCACAAAATACTTTCAGTGAACTCCCCCATTTAATTTTCATTGCAATCATGTGAACACTAAATGGGTACTAATACTACAATGTTCCTTTTATATGAGTAAACTGAGACTTCTAAAGACTAAGTAGATCAGGTGCAGTGACTCACACCTGTAATCCCAGTGTTTTGGAGGCTGAGGGAGGAGGATCACTTGAGCCCAGCAAGTTGAGGCTACAATGAGCCATGATAGCACGACTGCTCTCTCTCTGTTGAGAGACCTTGTCTCAAAAACAAAACAAAACAAAAAGACTAAGTAATTCCAGCTCACAGCTCACAGCTCACACAGGTAGCAAGAATTGAGATGTGAACAGTTATCAAGCAATGGTTAAAAGCCCCACTTTGATGTCAGACATAACGTGGCTTTAACTGTTGGCTTTGAGACTATGGGTGACACAACAGCTCTGTGCCCGTTTCCTCTTGTACAAAAAGGGAAAAATAATAGTATACCTCAGAGTTAAATAATAATGTTTAAGAAACAGCACAGTGAGTCACACAATGAGCAATGACACGGTAAATAATCTTATTTTGATCATAAGGCTGGACTCTCCTGACCATTTTATGGCTGAGAAATGCCCAAGGTGTGGGTGATGAGCTACCTTCGTCAGCTCTGTAGGGCCTGAGTTCTGCTTGCCATCCCTCTCTCAGGTCAAGAATATTGACACAGGCTGGGTGTGGTGGCTCGCACCTGTAATCCCAGTACTTTGGGAGGCCAAAGTGGGAGGATCACTTGAGGTCAGCAGTTCAAGACCAGCCTGGCCAACATGGCAAAACCCTGTCCCTACAAAAAATAATTTTTAAAAAATTAGCTGGGTGTGGTAACACACGCCTATAATCCCACTGCTGGGTGGCTGAGGCACGAGAATTGCTTGAACCCAGGAGGCAGAGGTTGCAGTGAGCCAAGATCACACCACTGCACTCCAGCCTGGGAAACAGTGAGACTCTGTCTCAAAAACCAAAGGAAAAAGAGTGCTGACATAAAAGTATTGCATGAAAAAAAGAAAAGTACTAAATGAAAGTGAAACCATGCTTAAAGAAACCAAGGCTTAACTTTTTTTTTTTTTTGAGACGGAGTTTCGCTCTTGTTACCCAGGCTGGAGTGCAATGGCGCGATCTCGGCTCACCGCAACCTCCGCCTCCTGGGTTCAGGCAATTCTCCTGCCTCAGCCTCCCGAGCAGCTGGGATTACAGGCACGCGCCACCATGCCCAGCTAATTTTTTGTATCTTTAGTAGAGACGGGGTTTCACCATGTTGACCAGGATGGTCTCCATATCTTGACCTCGTGATCCACCACCTCGGCCTCCCAAAGTGCTAGGATTACAGGCGTGAGCCACCGCGCCCGGCCAGCTTAACTTTTTTTTTTTTTTTTTTTTTTTAAAAAGCAAGTATAAGGCTCGGGTGGATCACGAGGTCAACAGATCGAGACCATCCTGGTCAACATGGTGAAACCCCGTCTCTACTAAAAATTACAAAAAAATTAGCTGGGCACGGTGGCGCGTGCCTGTAATCCCAGCTACTCAGGAGGCTGAGGCAGGAGAATTGCCTGAACCCAGGGGGCGGAGGTTGCGGTGAGCCGAGATCGCGCCATTGCACTCCAGCCTGGGTAACAAGAGCGAAACTCCGTCTCAAAAAAAAAAAAAAAAAAAAAAAAGCAAGTATATTGTGATATAATAACTTTCACAATTTCTTTTCTAAATTTACAATAATTTCTTCTTAGCACCATTAAAATTGACTGTGGTGAAATGAAATGAAAATTAACCAAATAAAATGCTGAGATAGGTTGTTCTTCCTTATCTCTCCTGGTTCTTCATTAATAAGTCATTTACTCCACAATTATTGAAGTGCTTCTGTGGGGGGAGTATTTTACAGTCTCATCTGTTTTCTTAATTTCTTATTTATGGCACACACACACACAAAATCCATGTTTCTGGGCAAGAATTGTAAAGGATGGATGACCTGACTAAAATGTTGGACACAATCAAAATTCATTGTACTTTTCTTTTCTTCTTTTTTTCTTTGTTTTTTTGAAACAGAGTCTTGCTTTGTCCCTAAGGCTGGAGTGCAGTGGCCTGATCTTGTCTCACTGCAAACTTCACTTCCCAGGTTCAAGTGATTCTCCTGCCTCAGACTCCAGAGTAGCTGGGATAAAGGCACCTGCCACCACACCCAGCTAATTTTTATTTTTAGTAGAGACAGGGTTTCACCATGTTGCCCAGGCTGGTCTCAAACTCCTGGGCTCAAGTGATCCTCCCACCTCAGCCTCCTGAAGTGCAATTTTTCTATTTTAAGTGTGCTGGTTTTCTTTGGATTCTGATTCATGTAGGCCATGCCAAAAGAAAGACAATTAAAACCATCTACTGTAACCACTTCTGCTACCCTAAGTCTATGAAGCATAAAACTTCCAGTGATAATCAAAACCTCAAAATGAATAAAAAGGCAATCCCCCCATTGCTGTAAAACAGAAGAGGCAAAATACGCTGTGTGTTGATTTTAAAATATTGAAAATTTTCTGAACACGTCCGAATGTACTAATTAGGTTGTACTTTTTTTTTCATAGATAAAACCATTTCTGAGCAATTGACAGGTGTCTGTAACTAACAAATAGCTTTCCAAAAATACTAGGATCTCAGCACAGCTTTCCATAAAAAGAGTTCTCATGTAAGTCCTCACTCTTAAGTAGAGTTTAATAATTTACTTCAATCTTTAGATATTTCTTTGGCTTTATCTAATTTATCAGTAATATTCACTTGAAAATTCAAAACAAAGAGTAGATGAAACTTTTTTGACATTCTTGGAAGCCTCGGGAGACCACACAGCACCGTTCTATTGAGATGACTCCAAATAATTTTCACATGAATGGCTAAAGTGCAGAAATGCATAATTTATTAGGATTTAAATAAATCAAGGAGAAAAGTACTTTAAAGTTATTGGTAGAAAATTTTCAAAAAATAAAGTTATAATTCTAAGAAACTAAGTTTCTACATATAAAATCCTTCCCTATATTTAACATTTCAAAGCAAAATATGCTAAAAAAAAAAAAAACTCTAACAACATGCATTTCTTTTAAGCATTTGATCACAGTAAGCTTTTTAAAAACACACATGACATACTTCTGGGATCTTCACAGAGGAAAAAAAACACACATGACATAATCCAATTTTATTTTTAGGGTGAAACACCTTTCTTAAAACATGTGCTATGTGGCCAGCAGAATGTTATAATCATTCTCTTTTGTTTCAGCAATTTCCCTGATACAATTATCATATTGGAAATATTCCCTAATGCTACAAAATTTGTCAAGAATAAAAAACTTGTTCATTGAACCTCTTAGAACATGCCTAGCTTTCTCATGGGCTGACAATTAAAAAGTCCCCTCTTCTTCAAGGCCACTTACATCTTTTTCTTTTTTCAAATGACTATTACCATAACAACTATAAGTCAATAAACACTTCGAAGTTCCCCAAATAGCAAAAATCAGAAATCCACAAAGATTTGGAATGACCTAAGAAATCTGAACATGTAAAAAAAAGATCAAATAACTCCCAAAACAGAACAATGACATGAACATCAGTTTTATTCACTGAGAATATATTCTTTTAAAAAATCTATGGCAGAAACATAACTATATATGAACACTGCTATTCTCAGCACTTTTTGTCTAGAAAATTCAGTGTACTATATGAAAACATCATTAAATTAAAGCATGTAAACTTATTTATGTCCAGCATGATCTTTTTAATGCCAAGGTTAAAAGGAAAAAAGCACCAGAAATATTGAAAAACACAAAGAAGCAAGGTAGAAATACCGCAAGATTATCATAATTTAATTTGCCACAGGGAAAATATTTAAGATAAAATTGAAAATAAAATAACATAGGTTATGATGTAGCCAAATTATTGTGAAATGTATCAGATTGGCTGGCTGTACCCTGTGGAGGTCACAGAAAATTACTACTTTAAAATATTCTCCCACAAATTAACATAAATAAACTGTTCTCTGTGGTTTCCAATATGCTACCTAGAAACACAATGTGGCTCCCCAAGGGAGTCTGGTTCCAATCCAAGGCAGATGAGATAGATGGAGCCAGGATGGCAGCTTCTGACAGACACTAATAAAAAAGATCAGTGGCATTCTACAGACTTGCAATATTCCATTTTATTAGAAGCAGTGGAGCACAGAAGTTAAGAACCTGAGCTCTGGAGTCAGACCTGCGTTCAAATGCTGAGTCCACCACTACAGGTTGTGTGACCTCAGGAATGCAACTCTCTCTCTCTAAAACTGTTTTCAAAGCTGAACAAGGTGGTACATGCACAAGAGAGTAGAAATACTGAAATGTGTAAGTAACTTATAACTCCATATAGAGTTCCGATTTCACTACCTAGCAGACTTCATGGTTTTCTCCTTTGCATTTCTGAAGATATGGCAATATTCTTATGGACATGTCCCCAATCTTTCTCTTTGCACTTTAGAAACTGGGAAGGGTTAGACATGTACAGACAAGTGACACACTTGCCCAAGAGTAAGAAAAGTGGCAAAGGCAGTTAATTATGCTTTCTATAGGGCTTATCTATTGCTTACATTTCTTATAAACTTATATAGAGATATGTGTTTGAAAAAGGTGAAATTCAATGACATGTTAGAATATATAGGGTTTTTTTAGATTTCAAAATTGGTTTGCTTTAAATGGTTGATGGCTAAGGTAAACTCTAAATTAAGTGCTAAATTAAATCAAAGCCAAATATTTTATTGATTTATAGACCCTAAAGAGTTGTAGTTGTATGGACTTCACAGCTTTTTATAAAATATATGAATAATTACCGCAAAGTGATTTGAATTGCATAAAAAGTAGCACCAATATATCAATATTCCACTTTCTTCCAAAGACAAGTAATGAAAAAAATATAAAACTGTAGGCAAGTTTAAAAAGTCACTCAGAAGTTATCTGCTTTTAAAATTAAAAACTACAAAATGTCCTTCAAGAAAAACATCAATTAAAGAAGTTGATGTATGTTATTTTCACTTTTAAAGGCCAATTTCAGACTTCAGATCACTTTTCCATGCAAAATAAAAACAAAATAAATTAATAACATTTTATACTCAAAATTGTTTCCACAATGTCACAGTAAGGAAGACAGTGATTTCAAAATGCATTCCATCATGCAACTCAATAAATAGTGGGTCCTAACAAGAATTTTCATCTAATAGGATGAAAATATCAGTTGCATATTGGGTAGGTATTGTTTTGTAAACTTTTGTTCCATGTGTGTATGCTCGGTTGTAATGCAAAATGTGTCTCATTTTGAGTTGCTGTGAAAAAAGATTGAGTCCCTACTCCCAGGCTAAATGTTGCCTTTTGGAGCCCCCTACAGTCTCTCAATGTTAAGAACTTAAATCCTAAAGTAAATAACCCTATAGTTTGGAGGTTGGTTCAGAAACTAGCATTCAATAATTTATACAGGAATAGGTTTACACAGATAAATAGGCAGGGTCTGGTCTAAGAACTCAAACTGAACATGTGAGTAGTTCTCAATCTTGAAGCCAAATTATCCTGAAGAAAAAATTAATTTGCAAGGTCTGAATTAGCCCTTACTAAATTTAAAATTAGAAGAACTATATCAGTATATCACAATAATAGAAGTCTGGAGGCAAACTAAGAAGAGATGAAATCACAAGGACTTTAGAAAATGAATGTATTATTAACAATACATTCATCTTTATAAAGTTTTTTTACAAAGGGGTGTTCAGAATTTAATCAATAGAAACATGACTAAGTGCTGAAAAGGTTTTTTTTCACCCCTCTACTTGCCTTCAAAGAATTGAGTAAAGAACAATTTTGAACAATCAAGTGCTAAACCTGAACTCCAACTAGACATGTTATTTTAAGAACTAGTAGGTCACTGTATCAAAGTAGTAAAACTCTTATGACATTGACTGGGGGTGGTGGCTCACACCTGTAATCCCAACACTTTGGGAGGTTGAGGTTAGAGGATCACTTGAGGTAGGAGTTTAAGACCAGCCTGGCCAATACAGTGAAACCCCGTCTCTACTAAAAATACAAAAATTAGCCAAGAATGTGCCATTGCACTCCAACCTGGACAACATAGCAAGACTCCATCTCAAACAAACAAACAAACAACTCTATTAAGTGGTTAGAAAACTGAAGTGGAAGTGAGGCCAGAAATTCAGGCTTATCTTTATCTAAAACAAGCTAAAGAGCCTTCTTTCCTTGATGCTCTTTTGCAAAAGATAATTTAATATAATATACAAAGAAAAAGTAACAGCGATGTTAATCATGCTTATATTAATGAACACCAATACCCTTACTACCACCACCACCAAAGAAATGCTTGCAGAAGCTTAAGAGTAGATGCAAACTACAAATATTGCACAATCATCAAATGCTACTGTGACCTTGATTTTACCCTGTATCAAATTGCCTATCTCAGAATGTTGGCATAGTTTAGTTAACCTAAGGTCAACTGCAGAACAGGGAAGAGGCCAAATGGTAGATGATCCTGTTGAAAGGAGATATCTTGACAATAAAATAAATTTAGCCTAAATGAAGGTAATTCCTAACACAAGCAGTAGCAGTAGATTGCCTTTTTCTTTTTTGAATCAGTTTTGGCGGGCCACTCAAGTTAGGTCTTTGAGACTAAAAATGAACATAAAATGAGCACTTCTGCAGAGCAAGGTAATGTTGGTCCATTTAATCTAAAGCAACCCTGACTCTATCATCCAATATCCCCACATTGATAAGGACAATTTTATCTGTGTTTACGGTAACATATCTAGATCCAGATTTGACTGTATGCCAGGGACTTAGGACTCAAAATTTATCCTTGGCTTTAGCACAATTTATTCCAAAATCAGTAAATATATCACATAAAAACATTAATTTGTTAATGAGAGCTCCATTTTAGTAAAACATTTGTTCAATAGATGTAACTATGTACAGAATTATGCCTGCCCCCTCCAAAAAAGTCCCAGAACTAAGGTTTACTGTAAATATATTTAGGATTAATTATGATCTATTGAAAGCAAATGGTGACAGCTTATTTGCTATTTACATAAGATAAAATAAATTTTATTTGAAAAGAATGAAAATAAAGTTTACTCTCATTCTTTGAGTATCATCTTGTATAAGCTGAAATTTAAAGAATGCTCCTTCTTAATGCATAATCATTGGAAGGGGAATTTTATAATAGCAATTTTTAAAATGGGAAAACCAAGTGATAACACTTCCCTTCTCTTTCTCATCACCACCCAGTCCTTACAAATCTTCATCACATTCAGAACTGATGTATGTCCAAGTCATCTCTTCTAGGTGTTTTTTTCCCCTTCTCCCTATTCTACTTAAGTAAAATGTCCCTCCTGCTGTCGGCAGGCATAATGAATATCCTCAAGACAACATTAAAATAATTGCTTTCATGAAACTGCTGTGTGCTTTATATCAGGTATACCAAGAAATATCCATGAACAAAATAATGTGGCTACCAAAGGTTACTTACAAGTAGCGTTTTAATACCTTCTCTTTCATTCTCCAGACTACTCTGTTGAGAAAGCTATCCTACTTAATATTTAATAGCCAGTGACTTCGAACCCAACTTCATATTGACTGACATTCTCTCATGTTTATGAACACAACATACACACATATCCACTCCTCACTTACTCTCACAAACAAGCACACACACACATTTTCTTTCTTTCCAGAACAAGCCAGAATTACAGCTCTTTTGGTGATTGTTGTAATTTTTGGAATGGTTCATAAATTTTCCAAATTCTTTTAAATTTGTAGTACTTTCATCTTTTTTCTTTTTTTTTCCAATTGTGAACCATTCCATATTGCATCTTTATTGCAAAAGTCAACATGCTTCTTAGAAATTCCGATTGTAATTGATAAAACAAACATTACATATATGAATTTAAATGTATAAACAGTTAGAAATTCAACAATATCTCCTATTATACTATTACACAAGTTCACAAGTTTGTAAAAACTATTATACAGGCATACTATACATCAAGAGGAACCACTATTCCTTTTCACATGATTTTTTTTTCTTTTTTGAAATAATAATCCATCACCATGGACCCTTTCACCTTACCAAGACTGTTTTCCAATTTATCATCTTAGCTGGTAACAATATTTTCTCAATGTTACATAAAGATATTGAGGGAAATTTTGCAACACTTGAACATTAATCCACTAGTATATCAGGCTGACCTAGTCAACTGGTAGCTATTATTACTGATCAGCTACTTACAAAGATGGCATACACATTAAGAGGAACAGAATTTGCCTTAGATACTGTATGTTATTTCTGTAAATGAAGATGCCAAGAAAGCATGTATGGCAGTTATTCACTTTTAAGTGAAATTCTAACAGTTGAAGATTTGATGGTGGAAGTAAAATATCCCAAAGGAGGCAGGGGATATATATAAACTATTTTATGCTAACCTTAAGTTTTCCAATATTATAACTCACTTTAAATTCATCTTCTAGTCAAACATGTTTTGAAATTCTTTGAAAGCATAAAGTGTTTTCAGTCCTGTTTAAGGTGTACTGAAAACTTTTATAGAAAGGGTCTCAAATCTTACTTAAAAAAACTGTTTTTCACTTTAACACACTTTTATCCTCTGCCCCCAATACGAAAAAGTCAAACAAATCTTCAACTTTTTACTGAGAGTGTAATAAGACATCCATTTTGAGGTTAAAAAATCATATGAAAAGGAATTTCATTCTGTTGAACTGTCAGTCTACTGAAATTTTTCTTACAGTTCCATTAATTTACTGTAATTTTCAGTTTCCAAATACAAAAATACAACAATTCTTATTGAAATCTATACGCTGGTAGTTTTAGTACACAAAAAAAAAAAACCCAAACAAATTATTTACAAAATTATACAGTTTAAGAAAAAACTTTGTACAAAAAATATATAAATCCTTTGTTCCCTCTATCACGTTTAAACTGTCAGGACTCAAAATATTCACCACAATGAATCTTTCAAAATATATACCGACTGAGCCACAGACATCAAGAAAAATTTCATTAGAGATGATGGAGGAGTAAGGAGCAAGATCGTGTATTCTAGATACCCTATTCTAACGTTTTCCTTCTTTTATAAGCTTATTTTACCTTCAGTGTTACTAGAAATATAACAATAACCTATAAAGAGAAAGTCCTTATTATGAAAGAAAATTATATGAACTTAAAAATGACCCTGGTTTGACACATCATTCCAGGAAAACATGTAGAATAATAAAGATTATCAGAACATGGGATTTAACTTCTTTTAGCTAAGTAAATCTAGAAGCCTGATGGTTTTAAGTTCTTAGTGAATAGTTTCTATTTTGAGAAATAGTCTTTACCTTAGCAAGTAAAATCCTTGATATAGTGGTCACCAAGAACCTTTTGGAGCCAACAGGAGGTTTCAAATTTTCACACCACACATATATAAAAACAGATGTGTATATCCTTGAAAAAGTGACAGCCTATGTACATTAATCATTTTATTTCCCCAGGGGTCAGTACAGTGTAGTGTTGCTCCTCTGCTTTTCCATCTAACATTCAGAACACAAGGACATAAATTTATATATATATTTTACTTAACAGATACTCTACTCTATACAGTGTACAGTAAAAATGCACACAGTAAAGGAAACTGTCCACTGAAGGATGCATATGTTCATGGATAGCAACAAGCTACAAAATTATGAAAAAATAAGGTCATCTGATCAAAGTCATACATGACTCCCATTCATTACTAGCATTATCAGCCCTCGACCCCCTCCCACCCACCCCTCACCCCTAGTCACCTTACCATCATGGTTTAAATTTAGGAAAAGAATTTCAGACAGTTTTAAACCCTTCTGTGTAACTATAACTGAACTGAAGCTTCAAAAGAGGGGAAAAAAAAGCTGGTGATTCTCTTCTCCCCAAAATCCTTCCATCATTCTCACCAAAACATCACTTATATATCCAGGTGCTGGTTTGAACCTTTTACTGGAGACTGCCTGTGGTTGCCCAAATGAACCACTTACGTCAATGATGACTAAGTCAGGCCTATTAATAGAAAGGCAAGAGGAAGAAAAGGGGGACAAGAAAGGGGCAATAGGTGAAAGCCTTTTACATTCTGAGTTATAAAAATTTTTAAAAAGACCAGCCAAACTAGTACTCACTAAGTATCAAAGCAAAGTAAGAGTCAGTAGCAGGAAAAGTCCAGGAGTTCGTATGACAAGAGAATGGAAATACTAGCGCTAGCTACCATTGCTGTAGCATTTAAGAACACAGTTTGTTGTGATTTTCACTGAAATAGTACTATCACACATAAACACCATGAAAAACAAATTTAGACTGAATACAAATTGGGCTCCTCCAAAGTTAAAATAAAAAAAAAAATTAAACATACTTTTCTTCCAAGACAACTCTTGAAAGCAAAGGGTATTTTAATTACAAATATTTCCTACTGTCTGACGACCCATCCATAATAGCTGAGAGTTAAAAGATTACAGGCAATTTTGACATTTAATTAAATTTTATCAGTAGATTATAATCCAAAAAAAATTTCTGAACACCCTGTCATTTACATCATAATCCAACACCAACAGCAACAAAAAAAAGGTGTTGTGGAAAATAAGGCTCTAGAGATTATCCATGTCATTGCTGTGGATCTTCACAACTGTGTAAAAGTCACTAGGCCTTTGGTGCTTTAATATCATGTACAGTTATGAGATGTGTTTACATAGCAAACTTGCTGTTCTTGAACCTACTGTGTTGAAAATAAAAATAAAAAATTATTTTTTGGCTCATTGACTTTTTTAAAATAATTTCTAAAAGTTGTTCTTCTAAACAATACTCCTAAAAATTATACAGCTAGCGTCAGATTTCATCTTCGCCATGAACGAGACTCATATTCATCTTCATCTTCATCATCATCATCAGGCAAAAACAAATCTGAAGTTTCTGTTTCCTGAAGAAAGAGAGGTTAATATCTGCTTAGTACACAACAGTGGTAAGTAAAATGCTTTTTAGGCCAAAGGACAAACAGTCTAGTATACAAAGCCCAGGCTGGATGGGCTTTATAAGGGATGCATGCAAGAATATCTTTCAGGGCAAAACAAAAGCCCAAAATATTTTTCTTAATGAATATAAATTCTTCTCCTCTACTAATTTTGCTAGGTTTTATTTTTGTTTTTGTTTTTAAATGAAGTTTTGCTCTTGTTGTCCAGGTTGGAGTGCAATGGCACAATCTCAGCTCACCACAACCTCCACCTCCCAGTTTCAAGCAATTCTCCTGCTCAGCCTTCTGAGTACCTGCGATTACAGGCAAGCGCCACTATGCCCAGCTAATTTTGTATTTTTAGTAGAGACAGGGTCTCTCCATGTTGGTCAGGCTGGTCTTGAACTCCCAACCTTCAGGTGATCCACCGGCCTTGGCCTCCCAAAGGGCTGGGATTATAGGTGTGAGCCACCCCGCCCTGTCTAATTTTGCTAGTAGAGGATTTCTACTCTAATAGCATCAGGAAAATAAATAATGTGAACATTTAGTAGAGAAAAATTTTTAAAACTGTGAGATATATTTCTGATAAGTTAATTAAAATTAATTTATCCTATTAAAAATTAGGAAAATAAATGACCAAACACCTAAATCTCTGTTTTACAGCCATTCAACTGTTTGTGAGAGGTGAATATACTAGCCTCCCCATGACACTGATATTCCAAATCTTATATAAAAATTTAAAATCTTAGATAAAGTAGATGTATCTGTAAACACTACCCAAATACCATGACTTTTTATTTTCTTTTAATCTGGGGAACATCTCTGCTTTTGCTGTATAAAATTACTCATATAGTGAGACGATATTTTATCAAACTATAAATGCTAGGTATCTTTTAAAACCAAGATTGTGATAAATCAGGAAAACCTCACAATGTAGCCAATGTGTTCACTAAATAAACTAATGATAAATAATAGGAGTAAAAAAGCAAAATAAATTTTCATATATTTTAAGAGGCTGAAAATATCAGCCTTTATATTCAACTTCTGCACACTCATTTTAACCAATTGTACACAGAAGGAAAATAAGAAACTCAAATCTGTTACTATAGAACTTGAGTAAACAAAAAGTGAAATCAATCAATTAAAGTTTATTTTAGGTAATCTCTGACTTTATTCATCAGAATAAAAATTTCTAAAGCTCAAACAAATCCAATATAAATGTAAACAAAAAAGAACAGCCTTTCCTATACCAGAAGAAAATAACCCCCAAGACAGCTTTTTCTACCTCTAGACCTGTTTTAACTCTCTAAGAAACATCTAAACTAGTCTTAACTTGCATGCATGAAAGAAAAACCCAGTTATCTATTTTTCAAATGTATACTATTTCATATCATGAAAAACAAATAATTGAGAACTGATCTAATTCAACTCTTATTTCCAATCATTAAATTTACCTCTTCCTTGACTTCTTCTTCTTCAGTCTCAGTGGATATAGATGGTACCTTGGGCTTGTGCCATGATATCTGTAGCCGGCGGTCTTTAAATTTTGGCCCTTGGTTTGCAGCCTAAAATATATTAGAAGAATATATAAGTTTGCACTCAAATAACTAATGATTTCTACAAATTCTGTGTTATTTAAAAAGTATAATATAGGGCAGGGAAAAATCCTTGTAAGGTGGATCTACAAGCGCCAATGAGAAATTAAAAAAAATTAAGTTCCTTTTAATTAGAGCAACTATATGTTCTGGTTTGCCTAGGATAACCATGGTTTATATCTGTGTCAGATAAATGTTAGCATCTGTCTTGGGTGGAGAAATGAATTTTTTTCTAAGTACAGCTGCTCTACTTACAAAAGTCATGATGAGGACAAGAATTATTCTTAATACATTTATTGACATTTGACTTTGATATCTACATATAGACTCAAACCTTAGAAATACATAAGTTTTTTAAAGGTGAATCATCTGCTTATTTATCTCACTGAATCTCTTACAGCTCCCCCACGTTTGATAAAGTTCTTCCTATTTCCTCTTCTGAAGTGTTAAAAAATGATAAGCACCTCCCAGCTCATCTATGCATTCAATAAACATTAATTAAACACTACTATCCTAACTCATAAAACTGCTCCATTTTAAATGTTTTACTTGGTACGAATTTTTAAACATTTTTTTCTACCCGGCAAATTCCAATAAGGGAAAGCAAATTTTAAAGACAAAGCAACACAGAGAAGGGAACAGGGATCCAAAGTTTCAAAAAAGTAAAAGCTTAGCCATCTCTATAGCTTTCCTATCAAAGGTCCTCATTTATAGAACACTCCCATTCTGGGGGTTCTGAAAAACATAAAAGAAGAGATTCTTTTTTATTTGGGCTTTCATTCTAGTCTATCTAGCAAAATCATTGCTAAACTTCTTGAAGCATTTGCCAAATGTTTCTATAAAACACTTGGAACAAAGCATGGAGAATGTACATTAGACCAGACTCATAAATCCATTACTGCCTGCATAGACATCATCCTATGTTGTAAAGGGAAAATTCCCACCATTACTTGCAGGGTCTAAATGCTTATAACCTAACAAAACATTATGACACATGGGACATACCAAATTGATGTATCAAAATAGACCTACCAAATACAAATATTTACCTTTTTTTTTCTTTTTTGAAACAGGGTCTTGCTCTGATTTCCAGACTGGAGTGCAGTAGTAAGATCACACTCACAGCAGCCTCAATTCCCTGGGCCCAAGTGATCCTCCCACTTCAGCCTCCCAAGCAGCTGGGACCACAGGCAGTACCACCATGCCTGGCTAATTTTTTTATTTTCATAGACATTCATTTCTCCCTGTGTTGCCTAGGTTGGTCTCAAACTCTTGGGCTCAAGCAATTCTCCAACCTCAGCCTCGAAAAGTGTTGGGATTACAGGCATGAGCCACAGCACCTGGTCTGTATTTACCACCTTTTAAAAATCAGATAATGTATGTAATATACATCCTTTACTCTTACTCTATCTTTTAACACACAGCCCAATTATAGAGAGGCTTTCACTGCTTGTTTTGTTCATTTCCATAGTATTTGAGTTTCTTTTTTTTTTTTTTGAGACGGAGTTTTGCTCTTGTTACCCAGGCTGGAGTGCAATGGTGCGATCTCGGCTCACCGCAACCTGCGCCTCCTGGGTTCAGGCAATTCTCCTGCCTCAGCCTCCTGAGTAGCTGGGATTATAGGCACGCTCCACCATACCCAGCTAATTTTTTTGTATTTTTAGTAGAGACGGGGTTTCACCATGTTGACCAGGATGGTCTTGATCTCTTGACCTCGTGATCCACCCGCCTCGGCCTCCCAAAGTGCTGGGATTACAGGCTTGAGCCACCGCGCCCGGCTGAATTTCTAAATAAAAATATGTTACTTTTATAATCAGAAAAAGTAATAAAGATTTTTAAATCTGTAATAACTGTGTTGCTCTCCAAAGAGGATAGGAGTTCTGTCCTCCAAAAGGAATATTAAATGTATTACATATACATTATTAAAGGAAGAATCAGAAATGTATATGTAGTCTGAAACTAAGAATAAATAATTTCTACTGTCTAACTTCCAACAAGTCAAATATATCAGCAATTGAAACAAAGATATACTATGACGCTACCAAGTTAGGAACTCTAAAACATAAATGGTTAGAATCTCAAACTGATTCTAAACTGGTAAGAATCTAAAACGGATGGGGTCCACTCAGCAATTCCACATATAGTCATCCTTTGGTGTTTCTGGGGGATTAGTTACAGGACTCTCTTTGAATACAAAAATCCATGAATGCTCAAGTCATTTATATAAAATAGTGCAGTATTTGCATATTAACCCACACACATTCTCCATATACTTTTAATCCTCTCTAGATTACTTATAATACTTAATACAATGTAAATGCCATGTAAATAGTTGTTATACTGTATTGTTTAGGGAATAATGACAAAAAATGTACATGCTCAGTACAGCTGCAACCATTCATTTTTTTCCTAATATTTCTGATCCATGACTGGTTGAATCCATGGAGGTGAAACCCACAAATACGAAGGGCCAACTGTGTATCCAAGAGAAATGTGTGTAAATGGGTAGTTAAAAACATGTATAAGATAGCAAGACTGCTTACAAAAGCCACAAAGTGGAAATAACCCAAATATCCATCAATAAGATGAAAAATAAACAGTAGTATATTAATACAACTACTATATAGTAATAAAAATGGCAAATTAATGTTACATGCAAAAATATTAATGAATCTCACAAACATATTACACTGAAGAAGACAGGCACAAAAGAAAACACACTGTGTGATTCCATTTACATAACATTTTAAAAACAGGCAGAATACTACTGTAATATTTAGGAATGCAAATTTAGGTGATGAAACTACAGTCAATTCTCATTATTTGTAGTAGTTATGTTCTAAAAAGTTGATGCAAACATTTAATTGGAAAATGCTGAGTCACCAATCATAGGGGAAACAGAATTAGACTCTTACGAGCCTCTAGAGCAAGTCTGACCAACCTGTGGCCCACCAGCGGCATATGGCCCAGAATGGCTTTGAATGCAGTTCAACACAAATTCGTAAACTTCCTTAAAACACCATGAGATTTTTTTTTTCCTGCTCATCAGCAATCATTAGTGTTAGTATATTTTATGTGTGGCCCAAGACAATACTTCTTCTTCCAATGTGGCCCAGGGAAGCCAAAAGATTAGACAACCCTGCTCTACAGGGTCACAATATTTTTGTCAGTTAATCAACACATACTTTGGTTTTATGTGTTTCTGCTGAAAAACATCTTATTTAATATATATTACTGACTCATTAACATTGAACTCATAGCTAAAAGCACTGACTTATGCCTGAACAAAGTTGAACTAACACATGTATCTTTGTAAGGCTTATTCACAGCCTCACACTTAGGAACCCTAGACAGCACTTTAGAACTACATTCGGGGGCTATTTTAAACAGTTTAATCACCAAGAAAACAAAAAGTTGAGAAAAATATGGCATTAAAAAGACTGCAAAGGCTGGGTGCAGTGTCTCATGCCTGTCATCCTAGCACTTTGGGAGGCCGAGGTAGGCAGATCACTTGAGGTCAGGAGTTTGAGACCAGCCTGGACAACATGGTAAAACCTCACCTCTACTAAAAATACAAAAATTAGTTGGGCATGGTTGTGGGCACCTGTAATCCCAGCTACTAGGGAGGCTGAGGCAGGAGAATCACTTGAACCCAGGAGACACAGCTTGCAGTGACCCTAGTGACTACACTCCAGCCTGGGTGACAAAGCAAGACTCTGTCTCAATCAATCAATCAATCAATTTACATTACAAAAGCTGAAACAAGACAGCAGAGCACCACCTTATTTCTATCTCAGCTGAAAACGGGCACGTGAGGGGACTGGCAACTATGTATATGTCTGAGAATGACCACAAAAGTACCACAAGTATTGATTCTGGGGTTACAAATAAATTTTAGTGAGTAGATGAATTGGCAAATATGGAATTTGAAAATAATAAGGACTGACTGTATAAAGAAAGCAAGGTAATCGTCATAAACCGAGGCTAATGGTTACTGCTCTGAGAAGAGGCTGGGAAAAGGAACAAGTGGGGTTGGGGTACTGGAAATGTTCTATTTCTTGACCTAAGGGATAGGTGTATAGGTGTCTGCCTTCTGATAAATCACTGAACTATATGTTTATGATTAGTATAGTTGGTTTTTATCAACATTTTAAATTGATTATAGGTATAACCTTTAAAATTTTTAAGGAAATAGGCTGGGTGTGATGGCTCACACCTGTGATCAGGAGTTTCAGACCAGCCTGGTCAACATGGTGAAACCCTATCTCTACTATGTAAAAACACAAAAATTAGTCGGGTGTGGTGGCACATGCTTATAATCCCAGCTACTTGGGAGGCTAAGTCAGGAGAATCCCTTGAACCTGGGAGGTGGAGGTTGCAGTGGGCTGAGATCCCACCACTGCACTCCAGCCTGTGTGAGAGGTGACAGACTCTCTCTCAAAAAAAAAAAAATTTAAGGAAATACCAAATAGCTAAAATTTTTATGTGAAAAAGGCAAGGTTTGGAACGTAGCCCTGTATTTATAATATGATCACATTTTGGTAAATGTTGTTGCTATGGTTTGAGATGGAGTCTCACTCTGTTGCCCAGGCTGGAGTGCAGTGGCGCAACCTTGGCTCACTGCAACCTCCACCTCCTGGGCTCAAGCGATTCTCCTGCCTCAGTCCCCCAAGTAGCTGGGATTACAGGCACATGCCACTGGGCCCCGCTACTTTTTATATTTTTAGCAGAGAAGGGGTTTCACCATGTTGCCCAGGCTGGCCTTGAACTCTTGACCTAAGGTGATCCACGGGCCTCACCCTCCCAAAGTGCTGGGGTTATAGGTATGAGCCACCACGCCCAGCCTGGTAAATGTTTTTAAAGTGAAAAGCTTTATACATGTATTCTTACATACATAATATTTTTCTATAACGGTATCTAAGAATAGTTACCATCTTTTAAGAATGGGCAAAGATCAATAAAAGAGAGAGTTTTATCAGTCATACTTTTTTATTTTTTTGAGACAGAGTCTCACTCCATTGCCTAGGCTGGAGTGCAGTGGTGCAATCTGGGTTCACTGCAACCTCCACCTCCTGGGCTCAAGCAATTCTTGTGTCTCAGCCTCCTGAGTAGCTGGGACTAAAGGCAGATGCCACCACACCCAACTAATCTTTGTATTTTTTTGTATAGACAGGGTTTTGCCACGTTGGCCAAGCTGGTCTTGAGCTCTTGAGCTCCGGTGATCCACCTGCCTCAGCCTCCCAAAGTGCTGATATTACTTTTTTATTTTAAAAAGTACTTTTTAAAAAAATCTAGGACTAATCTCTTAATATATCTCTTATTTATTAAAGTATCTGTTCTACTCATACATATATATTCCCTCACATACACATCTAAATATGGTTTAAGATGATAAAATATTGGGAAAAAATTAATATCCATCAATACAGGATGGTTCAAATGTAGTATGATATATCTATGCAATGAAATACCATGCAGTCATTAAAAAGAAGCAATACAACATGCACTAGTGTAGAACAATCTAACAGTTGAATATATATGAAGTGAAAAGTATATATGGCAAAGGGTGTTGTGTAACATGCTACCATTTCTATAAAAGAATTACATATATATGTATATAATTAAAAGAGAAATATAGTTCTCTAAGAATGAAGAGAATTATATATAGTTCTCTCTCTCACCTATAGAAATTTATATATATTTCTCTCTGGTATATATATATATATATATATATATATATATATACACATACATACATACATGTATATGTAGACAAAAGAATCTATGAGCAGATATATAGATGAGAAAAATATATAAATTATATTTATTATACACACACACACACACACACACACATATATATATGGAGAGAGAGAGAGAGAGAGAGAGAGAGAGAGAGAAAGGGGGGGAGGGGGGCAGAGAGAGAGAGAGAGAAGAGACAGAATCTTTGAGCAGATATATGAGAACCTCGTACCAGTAATTGTCTATGGGGAGTGAAATTGAGTAGAGGTAGAAGGAAATCTTATTTTTCATTGTATACACTGTTACTCTTCATTCTGTTTATGTAGTTGGCCAAGGAATAAAAAATATGTGTATGTGAATATGCGATCAACTATATATACCATAAATTAAAAATTATATGCATATTAGGGTTCTTGGTAGAAGCTTCTCAAAGAGAAATTCATCTAGTCTAGCCATTTTCCCAGATTAAAAATTGACACCCAATCTATGCCAGTCATCATACATCCATCACCTGCTTTCTTCAAGTTGTTCTTTTTTTTTTTTGAGACGGAGTTTCATTCTTGTCCCCCAGGCTGGAGTGCAATGGTGCTATCTTGGCTCACTGCAACCTCTGCCTCCCAGGTTCAAGTGATTCTCCTGCCTCAGCCTTCCAAGTAGTTGGAATTACAGGCACACACCACCACACCCAGCTAATTTTTGTATTTCTAGTAGAGATGGGGTTTCACCATGTTGGCAAGGCTGTTCTCGAACTCCTGACTCACCACAGGTGATCCACCTGCCTCAGCCTCCCAGAGTGCTGGGTTTATAGGTGTCAGCCACTGTGCCCGGCCATCTTTAACACTTAATAGGGCTGAAAATATTTCCTCTCAAAAGAGTTGTTTGAGGAATAGGGAACCTAATTGTCTTAGTTTCATTACTTATTAACTATATGATCGTGGTTGACATTTTAAATTGTGTTCACATCTGTACATACAGGATTTCACACGTATATAGTTTTGCATGTATTTCCCATTTATACAGTCATTTACAATTAAATGAGATCACATATGAAATGTTCCAGCACAAAAAATGCTCAATAAAATAGCTGGAAAGAGTATATACTGCATATGTCCAAAACAGTACAGACATTTGCCTGTAGCAAATTTTTATTTGCATGTGTCTAAAAGTAAGCAGTAGCCACTACACACAGAATATAACTAAATTATCTGAATTTTGTCTCTATCCCAAACTATTTCACTATTAACTATAAGCACCTGGTAAGCCATGAAATAATCCTAAAACAAAAATTAAATGTAGCTTTGGGATAACTTGTCACGACAAATGCACTTAAGTGGAGTACTATGGAATCAAAAGCAAGAGCTGCTTCTTGACTTTTAAATATATTAATAGGCATTTGTTAGGACTCGTGTTTTTTACAACTATAGATTGTCTAATCTATAAAACATTTGACACTTATACACACTGCACCAAGGAAAACAGTGTTCATTCATAGTTAGCATTTGGTATTTTAACAACTTACTGAGAAATGCTGAAGCAAATCTTCTTTTTCTTCCTCAATGAATCCTCCAACTGTTAGTGCTTTGGGGCGATGGTCCACCACCATGTGATTTAGTGAGCCCCTTCCTCTTCCTCCACGCCCTCGGCCTCTTCCTCGACCTTGAGAGGACATGGTCTTTCCTCGACCCACAGGTAAAATACCTAACCGAGCAGCCTGAATACAACAAAAAGTAGAACGCAGCATACGTTGTTAGACTAAACCTTAGACAACAAAGGAAAACTTTTTTGAGATGTTAAATGTGGTGAGGCAGTAACTGCTTTTAAATCTCACCTCAACCTGTAACTGACTGAGTTTCTTCCGTAATTCCGTTGTGTCTTCTCCTGAGGACAGCCTCTTGTGGAGGTCCAGTTCAGTATCTAATAACTCCTTCTGGGCCTTTGTAATAATTGAAAATCAAAAGGTATTTTTTAGATAACTTACAAGATCTTCTCCAGAACATTATAGTTACACAATGAGAATGAGAGGATACAATAAACATGGGTGTTTTAAAGAAAGTAACTTTACAGATCCAATAGTGCCAACATGTAGAAAGTGTATGCATCTCAATGAAAAAGAATAAGCATTAGATGGCCTAAAAATCAGATCCTAGAAATAGATACCTAAGATGAGGGAGCTGAGAATAACTGTCACATAATAAAGTATCACAAATAAAACACAATGGAGCAACATAAATTATATAGTAAAAGTGTATTTATAGTACAAAAGTAACAGCTACATAACTACTACTGGATTGGAATCCATAACTGTTGCCATTCTCTTTTTTGTTAGAGATAAATTATCTATCAGTCTTTAAGAGGCATGACTGCCAGTCATTTTTTTCACCTCTTTAATTTTTAAAATGTGCATATATTCTTTCTATGATTAGGAAAAATTTCAATAAAAAATTTTTATATTTTTAAGATATCTTAAACACTTTATGTTTCTATACTGATAAAGAACCATAATTTCAAATTTAACGTAATACTGCATATAACAATGTACATTCTACATAGTTTATTACCAGTTCTCGGAGTACTGGAACTATCTATAATCACACTACAGAACTGTGGTACAATGGTACCACTGTCTAAACCAAGTACAGCCAAGGAAACAGATGGAAATTAATAAAATTAGACTTAAATAGATCTAGAACTTCTAATTATTCTTTTTAATAACATGCCACATTTTACCCATATGAATAGCCAGGCTACTAAAAAGGATGGTTTTATTACAGTACTATTATAGCATTAGAAAAACACTGCTGAAATGGGAAATACCTTTTGCCACCATCACTCTATTAGTGTAATTGTCAGCAGGAAACCAAAATATTCAGTTAAAAAACACGTGTTTGTTCAAATAGGGTATTATCAACCTCCTCCCAGAGCACCGAGCATCTACAGAAATACTAAAAAAAAAAAAATCATGGCAACTGGGTACAGTGGCTCACACCTGTAATCCCAGCACTCTGGGAGGCCAAGGTGGCAAGATTGTATGTGAACCCTGCCTGGGCAATACAGTAAGACCTTGTCTCTTAAAAAAAAAAAAGTACTATAATTAGGATGTTTTTGTTTAAAAGTACTATAATTGTTTGCCTATATTCCTATTAGGATATTAGCTACCTAAGGGTTCCATTGTTCTTTCAAGGTGCCAAGCAGCATATGTTCAATAACCCTATGTTAAATAAAAAATACAAATAGATACCTCCGTTTTTGTCTTCACTTTAGATGGTGTGGAGACTGCAGAAGATGTTTTTAATTCGTCTTTTAATTGTGAGATCTTCTCTCCAAGCTCTTTCAAGGTCTTCATTATATTTGCTCTTTCTTCTGGTTTCATGTTTTTGTTTTTTTCTAACTTGGATATTAACATCTACAAAATAAAATAGAAAAAAGTAAAGTCATGCTTAATAAACTTTAATATAAAGAAGTCTTAAAATTATGGATAAAACTTTTACAGTCAATTCTATACATCAATTCTAGCATACAAATAATGAGCTCTTGTCTTACCTTTTGGCATTCTATTTGTTTTTCTAACATTTCTTGCTTTTTTTTTCCTCATATCTTGTTGTAGCTTTATTGCCTCCTGTGTAAAAAAGAAATTAATATGGATAACATAATTTGCCACCACTCTGAATTCATTTTTTCTAGGTCATCCCTGAGACAGACTGTCCTCCTAATGAAAAAATAGCTGAAACCACAAATGAAACTTTTGAATATGTTTTCCCTAACACTTTGAATATAAGAATTTATAACTGTACTTAAAAAATATTTAAAATATTGGCCCTAATTAGCTATAAGATTTATTGACTTCAATGATCCGAATGTTCTTATAAAGAAAAACGAAAGCTGTTTTCACTTGCCAATGCAATAAGCTAAATCCTTATTTTTAAAGTTTGAAGTTTAAAACTGAGAGGCTGGGCACAGTGGCTCAACCTGTAATCCTAGCACTTTGGGAAGCTGAGGTGGTAGGACTGTTTGAGTCCAGGAGTTAAAGACTAGCCAGCCTGGGCAACAAAATGAGACTCTGTCTCTACAAAAAATAAACAAAACTAGCCGGGGTATGATGGCACATGCCTGTAGTACCAGCTACTCATGAGCCATGATCATGCCACCATACTCAACCTGAGTAACAGATTGAGACATTGTCTCAAAAAAAAAAAAAAAAAAAAGAAAAGAGAAAGAAAAAATGAGATACAGCTATAGGTTAGAAATGACAGAGTAAAATCTATGGATTTCACCAGGAAAATTTTGCCTCCCACCCTCCTGTTAATTAAATCTCTAATTATTCTGAGCTTTATAGTACATATAAATATCTATTTGGGAAACACTGTGTGAACTTAATAGGATGACAGTGAAACTCAGAACTAAATCATAATAACTACAAAAATGTTCTATTTTATATGAATCATTATCTACTTTGGGATTAAAAAAGAAAATAAACACTAGAATTGGAGGGAATAATAGTGTGAGTAGTTAAAAAAATTCTGAACAGCAATTGTAAAACATTTTTTCTGTATGTTCATCTTTTTTTTTCCAAGTGGACATTAAATACAGAAGAAGCTAAATACGCATTATGATGTCGTGCTGTAACAACATGAACCAATTTAAAGGTGGTATCGTAACCACTTACCAATTCAATGCATCTTTTTTTCTGTAAGGCAAGAAGAATCAAGACTGTTACCTGTTTTTTTTTAAGAACTTCTTGAACATCATGAGATTTAGACCCTGAACAGAGCTTTGAAGGTGTCTTTAAGTTTGAGGAGCTGTAAATCATTTTTGGATGGCCTGGAGCTGAAAATATCTAAAAATTTAAAAAAAAAAAGCACACATAAATATAATTAAATTGTATCTTAGAAATGCTTAATTTTTTAGAAAGGATCGTGTATGTCTACTCTTCTTAGGAGTTAAATTTTCTTTTTACGTTTAAAAACTTCATTATCAAATCTAGTTCTTTATGCATAAATTTGTCATCCAAAAGATAAAAACACCCTTAGTGCCCTCATGTTCAACACAATTTCACAAAATACCAACATCAGACAAAGCTGCTCTTGTGACCATAACAGATCAAGACAAACACTTAATTATCAAGACCACACCCTAATCCTGACTGAACAGAGACAAAAACATGAATGCTATCCAAACCATAAAATGATGAAACATCTGTTTATCCTGGGAATGACTGCTGCTTCTTTACCACTTACTGTTTTAGCCTCATTCCAGGGAAGATTTAAGGCCTATGCCTATTTCCTTAAATCCTAAATCTAACTTAGCCCAAATCCTAAAATAAGTATATCTAGCAACCACAGTTTCATTGTGTATACCCCTCACTGAACAACATATTGAATTTGCTTGGCTACAGGTGGGTAGTATCTGGCTGGAGTGTATGTCATAAGTTGTTTTTCCTAAGTGAAGTACCAATAAAAAACTCTGTTCCCAATAACTGAAAAATCCTTCTGAGAATTAAGCTACATTCTTTTTTTTAAATGTTTTCCTTTCTTCCTTTATTTTTTTCTGACAGGGTCTTACTCTGTTGCCCAGGCTAGTGTGTGGTGGTGCAATCACGCCTTGCTGCAGCAGCGTCTCTTGGGCTCAGTCCCACCTCAGCTTCCTGAGTAGCTGGGACTATAGGTGTGAGCCACCAAGCCTGGCTGGTTTTTTTTTCTTTTTTGTAGAGACAGGATCTCTCTATGTTACCCTGGCTGGTCTCAAACTCTTAGAGTCAAGCAATCCTTCCACCTCAGCCTCCCAAAGTGCTGGGATTAGAGGTGTGAGCCATTGCACCTGTCTTTTTTTTTTTTTTTTTTAATTTTCTTACTGGAATAGTTACTCTGGATATGGAGCACCTGTCTTTAAAAAACTTTTTAATTAACCTTAAATAATATAAAAGATGTAGGAAATAATATTAAGAAATCCATGGAGAATTCAATCATATAAATAATATATCCAAATGTAAGACTTCTCTCAATCTCTACAACACTTAATTATCATCAAACTTAAACTGGTTTACATAGGAAAGTCCTGCATGTACCATAAGAACATTGTACAGCTTATGTTCATGTTATCATTTCTTTTATTAAAATGGCACTAACATGGAATTGAGAGCTGAATTTAAAAAAATTTTTTAAATGGCAACAACTACAATTTCTTGAGCACTATTTATGTGCTATACATTTCTCTTTTGTGCTTTCTTATTAACATAAAATTAACATAAAAATTAGCAACAGCTTGTAAGAGGCAGGTCAAGTCAGTCAGAGCTACCTGACTTGAAAATCTTTAATCACTTTAAAAAAAAAAGATGGCATTTTTGAAACAGACAAAAAAAAAGGTACCAAGCAGCAGCATAAACCTTCTTTCATTTATATCCCCAACTATATTCTTATCCCAAATATCCTATCATCTGTAATATTTTAGTTATATCTCTAAAAAACAAGGACTCATTTTTCAACATAACCACAATACTATTACAATATATACTTAAAAGGCAGTAATAATACTTCTTTAATATTAAATATTCACTTCTCCAGTTCCAGCTTATAATTTTCTAAACAATTTTCCACCATTTGATATGGGATCTACTAAGGTCCATGTAAGTGCAACTTGTTATATTTCTTTAAAGGCAGTATCTTTATTTCATAGTTTCCCTCTCCAACTCTTGCTTTTTGTTGCAAATTGCTGAAGAAACCAGGTCACTCATCCAGTACTACTCCCCACAGGATTCTGTGATACCCTTGAAGACGTTCCTCTGTTCCCCAGATTTCTTTTAAATTAGTGGGTAGATCTAGAACCCTAATCAGATTTGTTTTTCTCTTTGACAGGACTCTAGTAATCTTTGACAACCTTCTCACTTTCTGGTTTGACACCATATTCTAGGCTAATCTGCAAGACTGCCAGTCTCAGGTCTGGAGACAGCCATTTCTTCAAGGACCCCTGGGTCCCTTTGAGTGCTAGGGATGCTCAATGACTGGGCTGGTCATTGTTCCTACACCTTTTCAGTGACTAGAATTGGGATATGTTTTGGGATTATTTTGTTGCCTTTTTTTTTTCTTTAAGATAAAATACAACCTGAGTTTATGGTGATCCTTTCTATTCAAATGTGGGACTACAGGGTATTTACTTAATCTTATCTATCTTCCATCTCTCTTCAACCACACTGAAAATCTCAGTTGTCAATGACAATCAGCTTAATTCCTCATTTGATTTATCGTACAATGTTCACAGATGGGTTTCAGAATATCAACATTGCCAACAATATGATTAGAAAGAGCTTTTTTAAAATTGTTTTTTGTCCTCAGGGTGTATCAAATTAGGAATACAAGGTCCAAATCACTGTTTTAAAGCACTCAATGCAGATATGCTAGTTCATGTGCTTCACTTTTTACTTTTTTATTTTTATTTTTTTCTATTTCATTTAATTTTATAATTATATTCAGAACTTATTTACATGGTTCCAAGTCAAATCTATAAAACAAGACATAATCAAAAGTCATCTAGCTTCTTCTATACTTGCAATACCTACAGGATTTAAATAACACGAATTATCTTTTTGTTTTTTTCTGTTATAAACAAGTACTTCTCTGTGTTCAGTGCCTCTATTTTTTCACACCAGCAGTAGCTAACTATATATTTTTTCTTCCATTTTGCTTTTTTACTTAATATATTTTGATAATCACTCCATAGTACATACAAAAATATTATTCATTCTTTATATACTTTTATATTTACTGTGTAGTTATAATACATTTTCAGTAACCACTCCCCTATAAATGGGAATTTGGGTTGTTTCTAGTATTTTGTTATTATAAAGAACATACAATTAATAGCCTTGCACATATGTCTATCCATACTTTGGCTAGTGTACCTTTGACATAGATTATTAGAAGGAAGATTACTAGATTAGTAATGCATATACATATTTTTGTCGGATACTGTACTGCCAAATTTCCTTTCATGAGGGTTGTATCATTTAGTGTTTCCATCAGCATCTAAATCTCAGATCCATTTGGAATTTATACTGGTTTCTGATATAATTTAAAAAAAAACAAATTGGATCTTATTTTATCTTTTCCCTATTGGCTATCCAGTTATCCCAATCTGGAAGTTATCAACATGTCTATAACTTCCCCACTGATCTGGGACACTTCGTTATTATATAATAAGCTCCTATTTGCAATTGAGTCTATTTCTAGATTTTCTACTCTGTTCCACTGGTTGGTCTATTCATGAGTCAGTATTAGGTTTTTTCAGTTATAGAGGCTATTTAGTATTTTGGGGGATTGCCGGCATTGCTGCTTTTCTTTTATAGTTTTCTTTTCTTTCTTTTCTTTTTTTGATGAAATTAAAGAAATTAACTAATAAAGATACTTATCTTTATTCTCTAAATAAATATCTAAAATTCTCAAATTCCTACTTAGTTTTTGGTTTTTTTTCTTGACAGAGTCTTTCCCTGTCACCCAGGCTGGAGTACTATGGTGCAATCTTGGCTCACTGCAACCTCTGCCTCCCAGGTTCAAGTGATTCTCATGCCTAGCCTCAAATAGCTGGGATTACAGGTGCCCACCACCACATCCAGCTAACTTTTTTGTATTTTTAGTAGAGATAGAGTTTTGCCATTTTGATCAGGCTGGTCTCAAACTCCTGACCTCAAGTGATCTGCCCACCTTGGCCTCCCAGAGTGCTAGGATTGCAGGCATAAGCCACTGTGCCCAGCCTCCTACTTAACTTTGAATAGGAAAAAAGTTTCACTAGCAAATTTCTGTGAAACAAGGGAGTTAGACAGGCATACCTGCCACCCTTAGATTAGCTGTCACAATTTTCTTGATTGTTTGGATGATAACAAATTTATTTTATTTGTTAATTCACTGAATGATTCTAAATATATTTGAAGCTCACAAAAATGCATACCTGGCAATCTTCTCCAGCACCACCAGACTGATTCAACAAATGTGATGCATCACTCTGGTTACCACCTGCATGTCCAAGACGATGTTTAACAGAAACTTTGTTGAGAACGTATGCACCTGATGTCTGTGGTTTGCTCATCATCTGCAAATACAAAACAAACACTTAAGTAGCCAAAGTTTGAGAACATGCCTAGGAATAATATAAATTTAAGATAATCACCCTAGGGAAGAAGATAAGAAAATGAGAATGGGAAGGTGCTTCAATTATCCATAAAATTTTATTTTTAAGTGCAATGGTGAATATACAAATGATTGATAGATTTTTCATACTTTTTTGGATGTCTAAAACATTCCACAACGAAATGCATGCACCTACACACAAAAAAACGATTAATTATTTTTTAATGTTTCCTCCAGTATGTAATGCTCTGGAAGAATTAGAGGGTCTTGGCCGGGCACAGTGGCTCACATCTGTAATCCCAGCACTTTGATAGGCCGAGATGGGCGAATCATGAGGTCAGAAGGTCGAGACCATCCTGGCCAACATGGTGAAACCTGTTTCTACTAAAAGCACAAAAATTAGCTGGACGTGGTGGCAACTGCCTGTAATCCCAGCTACTTGGGAGGCTGAAGCAGGAGTATCGCTTGAACCAGGGAGTCAGAGGTTGCAGTGAGCCAAAATCATGCCACAACACTCCAGCCTGGTGACAGAGCAAGACTCCATCTCAAAAAAAAAAAAAAAAAATTAGAGAGTCTTGGTTGGGCACAGTAGTTCATGTGCATAATTCCAAGGCAGGCGGATCACCTGACACCAGGAGTTCAAGACCAGCCTGGCCAACATGGAGAAGCCCCATCTCGATTAAAAATACAAATATTGGGCAGGCATGGTGGCATGTGCCTGTAGTTGCAGCTACTTGGGAGGTTTAGGCAGGAAAATCGCTTGAACCCAGGAGGCAAAGGTTACAGCAGTGAGCCAAGATCACACCACTGCACTCCAGCCTGAACAATGACAACGCAAGACTGACTCAAAAAAAAAAAGAATAAAAGAATTAGAAGGTCTTAACTGACAGCGACAACATGAATAACTGAAACAATCACCTCAAAAACAATGCAATCTTGAGCTGCATTAACATATTATGTCTAATGATCACCATGAAGGTGATGGTATCAACTCTTTTCTACACTATTCATCCAACATCTAGGGGAAGCATTCACTTCTGGGCCCTTACATTAAGTGGGATACAAACATAACTAAAAGAAAATTTAGATGCATATGAGCAGGACGATAAATGAGTTGAAACCATGTACTGTAATGAATACTTTAAAAAAAATATGAATGCATCTAATCTAAGATTATCTAGGTCAAATCTGAATGGCTCTGATGTGTGGTAATTTGTTCTTTTCTTCTTTCCTTCCTTCATCTATTCAATCAAATGTATTTTCAGCAATATGTACTGAACGCTGTTTTACACACTAGGGATAGAACGGACACAACAGGCAAAATTCTAATTCTTTTGGAGCTTCTATTCCCATTTTTAGAAGAAACGTTTAATTTTTTAGATGGGAAAAAGGAGGACATATGGGTAGATAGAAAAAAGACTGATTCTAATACAAAATAAAGAAATAGCTCTACATTCAGAATTGCTCAGTGGTAGACGTTTATTATACTTTAGTGTGCATAACAATAACTTAAGAGGACTTCTTAAACATGTACATTATAGGGCCCATATCTAGAAACTGACTCTACAGAAGTTTGAGAAAGTGAAGCCCAGGAATTTGCACCCAGGTAAGTGATTTTGATGTAAAATACCACTTCTCAAACTTTAGGGTACGTAAGAATCACTTGGAGAGCTTGTTAAAACACAAACCCTTGGGCCCCTACCCATAGGGATTCTGATTCAGTAGGATGGAGTATGGCTCAAGAATCTGCATTCCTAGTAAGTTCCCAGGGGATCAGATGCTGCTGGTCGGCAGTTCAAATCATCAGTAGCTCTTGCATAGAAGACTCAAGGACGAGGAATTGAAAAATACTGATCTAGAGGGTTGAAACAAAGGAAATTTAATTCCCAGGGAACCAGATTACCTTCTGGATACCTCCATGCACTGTCGAAGGAGCAGACTGGGCCACCAGCACCTGCTGCTGATGAAGATGCTGTGGCAGGTGATGGTGCTGCTGTGAGAGATGACTAAGTGTTTGCTGTTGTTGCAGGAGCAGCTGCGCTGAGGGCTGTAATGTTGGTTGCTCATTATTTTCCCTATGCCACAAGACTCGAATGAATCGGTTGTTTAGAACTGCTTCTGTGCTAGAAATGGCTTTCCTGGCCTCTTCGTTGCTAAGATATTGGATTAGGGCTGCTTCTGGATCACCCTTAAAAGCAACCTTGAAGAAAATAAAAAAAACAACATAAATTCCCAACAGAAAATAATTAAATAAATTATGACCCATTGCTATGGAATGAACGTTTTCCCCAAAACACACATGTTGAAGGCCTAAACTCCATCATGACTGTATTTGAAGACAGAGCTTTTAGGAGGTAATTAACGTTAAATTAGGTCACAAGGGTGGACCCTAATGAATAGTATTGGTGGCCTTAAGAGAAAGAGTTCAGCCCCATCCCCTCTTTCTCTTGGTCTGCCATTTGAGTATGCAGTAAGAAACCAACCATCTGCAAGCCAGAAAGAGAGCCCTCCTTAGGAACTGAATCATCCAGCACCTTCATCTTGGACTTCCCAGCCTCCAAACTGTGAGTTAAGTCACATGGTCTATCAGTCTATGGTATTTGTTATAGTAGCTCAAGCAGATTAATATATCTACCTATGTTAAGCCATCTCAGTTTTTCTAAATGTCATAAAAAGTACTAACTTAGAAAAAACTTAGAAAAAGATAGAAACCATTGGAATGATCATATCTTTTACATGTTTTAAGTATACGAAGCACTTCTTTTTCTTTGTTGTTTTTTTTTTTTTTTTCCTTTTTCTGGGTGTTTATTTATTTATTTATTTTTTGAGACAGTCTCTTGCTCTGTCACTCAGGCTACACTGCAGTGGCAGGATCTCAACTTACTGCAATCTCCACCTCCCAGGTTCAAGTGATTTCTCCTGCCTCAGCCTCCCAAGTAGCTGGGAATAAAGGTGGCTACTTTTTGTACTTTAAATAGAGACAGGGTTTCACCATGTTGGCAGGCTGGACTCAAACTCCTGGCCTCTAGTGATCCACCCAGCTTGGCTTCCCAAAGTGCTACTATTACAGGTGTGAGCCACTGCATCTGGCCCTGTATGAAGCATTTTTAAAAAGAGAATGTGGGTGTGTATATACATGTTGTTCCATATAAATAAATAAAAACAGTATAGCTTTAAATCAAAAGATAAGGCCAGGCATAGTAGATCATGCCTATAATCCCAGCACTTTGGGAGGCTAAAGTGGATGAATCACTTGAGTCCAGGAGTTTAAAACCAGCACAATACACATGCACACACGCACGCACGCATGCATGCAAAATTAGCCAGGCATAGCCAGGCATAGCCAGGCATGGTGGTGTGTGCCTGGGGTCCCAGCTACTCAGGAGGCTACAGTGGGAGGACTGCTTGAGCCCAGGAGTCAGAAGCTGCAGTGAGCCAAAACTGCATGACTGCACTACAGCCTGGGCAACAGAGCGAGACCCTGTCTCAAAATATAAAAAAAGGCCAGGTGTGATGGCTCATGTCTGTAATCCCAGCACTTTGGGAGGATGAGCTGGGTGGATCACCTGAGGTCAGGAGATTGACACCAGCCTGGCCAACATGGTGAAACCCCACCACTATTAAAAATACAAAAAAATTAGCTGGGTGTGGTAGCGCATGCCTGTAGTCCCAGCTATTCAGGAGGTTGAGGCAGAAGAATCACTTGAACCTGGGTGAACTGAGATCCCACCACTGCACTTTAGCCTGAGTGAGACTCTATCTCAAAAAACAACAACAACAACAACAAAAGACCACTTTGGTTCAATTCTTTGAAATACCAACTTCCACAACACCATCTTCTTTAACTCAGCTTATTTTGGTTTGATGACAACACTTAAGTATCAGGGATAACAGACTAAAATTCAAACTTAATCTAGCCTTCCAGTACTCTCAATGACAACATAACACCCAACCATAAATTCACAAATTAAAATAACTAACAAGTAGACAGTGAAATACAAAGCTATGATTTATTTGATCTTGGATTACACATTACACTGCCTAAAATTCTAAACATTAGAACCATCCTCAACCAACTACTATTTTACCACAATATAAAAGGTCAGTTGACAAAATTATAATCTTGAACATTACCAAAAATATCAGCTACCTAGTTATATTAACTCAGATATTAAAAAAGTCATTTTTTCTGAGATAGAACTATGAATAAAAATACAGTAACTACCCATTCTCATTCAAGAAGAGACTGCACTAAAGAACCAAATGAATTCACAAGAACAAACTTGTTAATTCACAAGAATTAACAAGTCCATCATAAAAGTGGGTATACAAATGATCAGAATAACCACTGACTCATTTAAGCAAGGTGAGCTGACAGAAATATTTCCAAGACTCATAAAATGCCTGGATTCTGTCACTGACATAGCCACGTTTACCTGGATATTAACAATAGTTCCAAATTTGCTGAAGTGTTCATTGAGCTTGGTAATGTTGTTCAATTCCTGAGGGATTTTCTTGACTTCTAATTTGGTGTTTGTATACTGATTCTTTCGTAAGAACCCCGGTTTATTTTGATTGTTATTTCCTTGCCTAAAAGGAAGATTAATATATCTTGGTTAATTCTCTTACTTCATGCCTAGCCAAGAGATATAACCACCAAGAATTTAAGTTTTATATGTATAATTTTTTAAGTGCCTTTTGTTGCTGGGCATGGTGGCTCACACCTGTAATCCCAGAAAATTTTTTCAAAATCCTATGAAACATTATATTCAAAATTCAAACCACAGAAAATATATTAACATCAAGAAACAGGTTAGAGACTGGGTGCAGTGGCTCATGCCTATAATGCCAGCACTCTGAGAGGCTAAGGCTGGAGAAATGCTTGAGCCCAGGGGTTCCAGATCAGTCTGGGCAACATAGTAAGACCCTGTCTCTATATAATTAATTAATTAATTTTTTAAAGTGCCTCTTGTTAGCCCTTAACATTCTTCAGAAATTACTAAGCAATTTTCACATCGTTCTTATCCCAAGAATAAAAAAAGTTGAAGATAAAGGTGAACGCAAAAGATCATCAAAAGAAAAGGTCCAACTGAAGCTTAAAATCATATGCCAAAAAGAATACCACAATTATCAAGGAGTCTAAGTAAGGCTAGAATATCATCTTTTTTTTCTTTTTTTTTTTTTGAGATGGAGTTTTGCTCTTGTTGCCCAGGCTGAAGTGCAGTGGCACGATCTCAGCTCACTACAACCTCTGTCTCCCAGGTTCAAGCAATTATTCTGCCTCAGCCTCCCAAGTAGCTGGGATTACAGGCATTCACCACCATGCCTGGCTAATTTTGTATTTTTAGTAGAGATGGAATTTCTCCATGTTGGTCAGGCTGGTCTCAAACTCCTGACCTCAGGTGATCTGCCCATCTCAGCCTCCCAAAGTGCTGGGATTACAGACGTGAGCCATCATGCCTGGCTAGAATATCATCTTTAATGGCATATTTTTCAACTTCTGCAAACGTATTAAACTTTTTTTTTTTTACCATTTATTTCATTTTTTTTTCTTCTTTTCTATCCACTGCCAGTGCCTTAGTAATTTTTAATATTTGGTTAGGCATAGAAATAGGTAGTTACAAATTAGAAATACCTATTATGGGCCAGGTGCGGTAGCTCACTCCTATAATCTTAGCACTTTGGGAGGCTGAGGCTGGTGGATCACCTGAGGTCAGGAGTTCCAGACCAGCCTGACCAACATGGTGAAACTGTCTCTACTAAAATTACAAAAAATTAGCCAGATACGGTGGTGGGCACCTGTGATCCCAGCTACTCAGGAGGCTGGGGCAGGAAAATTGCTTGAACCCTGGAGGCGGAGGTTGTGGTGAGCCAAGATCGAGCCATTGCACTCCAGCTTGGGCGACAAGAGCAAGACTGTCTCAAAAAAAAAAAAACTATTATGAATATTGTTAACTTTTTAATTTTCACGACATTCTAAACATGTCTCCCGGAACCCTAACTTTGAGACACTTAGTTTGAAAATCATTAATGACAAAGTTTATGAATTTAGTAATGCAAACAACAATAATAACAATTAGATGTTACTAATTAGCAAATTATCTTACTTTCCCAGCCAAGGTTTCTTTGTGAGTGGGCCTTCCAAACCACTCACGGCTCTTTTTCGGCTATCTGGTTCTAGAACTACTCTGGTTATGTTGCTATTAATCGAAACAGGAACTGGTGGTTCAGTCTGGATCACAATGTTAGCAGCTGTTGGAAACAAAAATTCAAATTACTAAGTTGTTCAGCAATCTCAATGATTAAATAATATTTAGTATAAAAGCTAAATAGTACTATGAATATTTCAACTACTATCATTTCTCTTTTAGAAATGCCTAACAGCAAGAAAAAGTCACAAATGTGTTTTTCTATAAAAAATAGAAATCCATGTTTCAAAACTCAAAGTTAACCTTGATGTAATCATTGACTCAGGCATGGATGAGCAATAGATAAAAAATATATTGGTGAAAGGCTATTGGAAAATAAAATACTTATACAGTGACAAAATATCACTCCAAAAATTATATTTACAATGGAGAGCTCTAACAATTATCACTTTATACAAGCAATCAAACTTAGCACCATTAATGGACATTATTTGCCTCCTGGTAGGATTCAACAAGAATTTGACTACATCATAAGGATAACATATTATGGAATTATGATTTTATGGCAATAATACTGTGCTTATATAGGACTGTCTTATTCTTACATATAAGGTAAAGGGGTTAAAGTTTCTCTATATCTACCACTTACTTTCAAGAGATTCAACAAAAAAATGTGAGTGTAGAGAATAAAGAGAAGAGAGAGCCCACAAGAAAGCATTCATGCCCAACGGTAACAAAGTATTACCGGTAAATCTACGTGAAGGCATTCAGATGTCTGCTGTGTTTCTTTTGATTTTCCATAGGTTTAAAGTTGGGAAGAAAATCCAAAGCCAATACTATAAATTGGCAGAAATACTCTAAGAAACTGCCCATACAATAAATAACCTTTGGGTAGGAAGAGGTATACTGAACAAAAAGGAAATTAATACAAAACTATGCCTATTATATACTAAGTATTTCCCCTAACTTTGGCAACTCCACTAAGCAAAGAATAACCTAGGCTGAATGCTGGGGTAGGGATATGGTTGGGAGTTGGTACATCTGATTTCATCTTTATGTCAGGGAAATTATGATGTAAGGATTCATTTACTTAACATTTAGCTATTTTACAGCTCAGCAACTATAGCAGACCTTAGGTATACATTGGTGAATAAAACCAACAAGATCCTTGCTCTTGCAAGACTTGTGTTTTCAGAAGGCTAATGAAGAAGATAGCAACTGTGATGGCATAAAGCATTCTAGAATTTGACATGCCATTATGTTCTCCTTAAATAGTTTTATTGTTACCAGCTAACATTGCCTAATGCTTTATTTTTTAATTTAATTAAGTGTGTCATATTAAAGGAAAGAGATATAGCTAAAGCTAAGTGACTTGCCCAAGAAAACAAAGAAATCCTATTTTATACAAAACATTACTTCTACTTTGAATTCTAGTTCTGCCAATTAAAAGCTGTGTGACCTTGGGCAAGTTCTTTAAACCTCTCTAAGCCTCAGTATTTTTCCTTGTAAAAGGAGAATAAAAATAGAAATATGGGAAACAATAACATACATGAGGCCAGGCATAGTGACTTGTGCCAGTAATCCCAACACTTCCAGAGGCTGAGGTGAGCATATTTACCTGAGGTCAGGAGTTCAAGACCAGCCTGACCAATATGGTGAAATCCTGTCTCTACTAAAAATACAAAAATTAGCCAAGCTGTGGTGGCACACACTTGTAATCCCAGCTACTCAGGCAGCTGAGCCAGGTCAATTGCTTGAACCCAGGAGGTGGAGATTGCAGTGAGCCTAGATTGCACCACTGCACTCCAGCCTGGGCAACAGAAGGAGACTCTGTCTCACCAAAAAAAAAAAAAAAAAAAAAAAAATATATATATATATATATATATATACACACACACACACACACACATACACACACACACACACACACAATCTATATATATATATATACACACACACACATATACACACACACACACATTCTTATAGTGTTATTAATGGCAGTAAAGAAGAATTAATAAACTAAGAGAGAAAGAACAGCAAAATGGTAGGCTGGGTGCAGTGGCTCACGCCTGTAATTCCAGCACTTTCAGAGGCCAAGATGGGTGGATCACCTGAGGTCAGGAGTTCAAGACCTGCCTGGCCAACATGGTGGAACCCCATCTCTACTAAAAGTACAAAAATTAGCTGGGTGTGGTGACACACACTTGTAATCTCGGCTACTTGGGAGGCAGAGGCAGGAGAATCACTTGAATCCAGGAGGCAGAGGTTGCAATGAAGCAAGATGGAGCCACTGCACTCCAACCTAGGCAACAGAGCCAGACTCTGTTTCAGGAAAGGAAAGGAAAGGAGAAAGGAAAGGGACAAGGAAAGGAAAGGAGAAAGGGGAAGGAAGGGAGAAGAAGAGGAAAGAAGGTGAAAGAAGAGGGAAGAAGGTGAAAGAAGAGGGAAGAAGAGGGAAGAAGGGGGAAGAAGGAGGAAGAAGGGGAGGAAGCAGAAAGGGGGAAGGGGGAAGAAAGAAGGAAGGAAGAGGTAAGAGGGAAGGGGGAAGAAAAAGAAAGAAAGGAGAATGTTTGCCATATGATTAAATTAATCAAAAACTATTGTCAGTGCAGTCCATGGCCAGTCACTCATATTGAAATTACATACTGGAAATCTGTAACAGTTAAAAAAAAAAAAATGGAATCTCATCAAACTAACCATCATTAACCAACCTTTTTAGTGAGGGAGTAGGTAGGAGGTTATCAGCCATATGAGAGGTAAATGCTTGCATTTAATCTTAGTTTTATTTCATTTTTTTAAGGTGTATTCCTAAGCTCTGTAAAGGTCCTAACTTAAAGATGTAATCATTAGTGTAAAAATTATCAAATGATAATTGTATTGTAATGTTTTAGATTCTCACTATTATTGTGATGAATAGCTCTCAAGATAAAAAGTAGGCCCTTTAATGATCAATTCTTTGAGGGAGAGGATCAGCAATTTCATATTTCTATACATAATATCTAACACAATGCCTAGCAACAAAACTAAAACAGCCTAAAGTCATACCCAAAAAAGACAATTAATATTAGTATGATCTGTACTAATAAAAACAAATATATTCTCACTATAGCTTTAAAACAAAATTTAGATAAAGTTATTTAAAAACATCTGAGATTAATATATAGCACCCTTCAAAGAGATGATATGCAAGTAATTTGAACCTTAATTTCCTCAATGAAGGTCAGAAATGCAAATGTAATAACTATATTCAACTATTGCATAACACAGCATCAGAAAAAGTTCAAGGTATTCTCACCTCTTGGATTTGCATCCATATCTCCAGATGTTAGGCCAATCAGATTGGGGCGCTGTGTCTGTGTTCTTGAAAAGAACTGTCTGTACTGAGATCTACCAGAACTAGTAATACTAGGAGCTTCTGGGTTGTAACCATCTGGTTCATACGTATCTGAGGGAAAACAAAGCAACAAAACACTTAACAAATCAGAGAGCGGTTAAACCATCTCTCATTGTTAAAAAATAAACAACTGCTTAAAAAACATACATTCACCAAAAAATATAAATACATCAACCTACAGTCACCTCCCAGTATCTGCAAGGGACTGGTTCCAGGACCCTTCCACAGATATCAAAATCTACAAATGTTCAAGTCTCTTATATAAAATAAGGTGATATTTGCATACAACCTAGGTACATCTTCTTGTATACTCTAAATCATCTCTATGTTAATTGTAATACCTAATATAAATGCTATGTAAATAGTTGTCATGGATATTGTTCTTAAAACTTGCATTATTAATTACTATATTGTTATTTTTTATTGGTTTTCTTCCTGAATATTTTTTATCTGCAGTTGGTTGAATCCACAGATGTGGAACCTGAGGTGAAGGGATGACTCTATTTCTCTTTGTGTTACAGTATCTAGACATGCCTTTTGAAAGTGAAAAAAAAAATACTCCTATTACAGGACATAGATACATACATCCATTATTAAATAATGGTATTTTCAGATCCATTCACCTACTCATTTCTACCCTACATATTCATCACCTAAACCTAATGTGAATGCACACTTTTTTTTTTAATTTAATAAAACGGAGATGGGTCTCGCTATCTTGCCCAGGCTGGTCTTCAACTCCTGAGCTTAAACCATCTGCCCACCTCAGCCTCCCAAATTGCTGGCATTACAGGTGTGAATCATTGTGCCCAGACCAATGCATATTTGTTAATACAAATTTTCATGTACACAAACACTGTAAGTGAAGGATTGGGTTCCCTTTGTTATCTATCATATCTCCAATTTCCAGGTACCCTTTTAATTAAAGAGAAAAGAAAAACCAAACTACTCATTTGGTTATCTGCACTTTTTCAAATTAGGGAGACAACAGCTGGTTTCACACATAAACCATATTTCAAATAAAACAGCGCACACACACATGCGCATGCACACACAGTCACTTCTATGATTTAGAGTATAGAAGTGATTCAGAATATAAGATGAGCAAATTATCCTCATTTAGGGGATCTTCCTGGCCACTACAGGCATTTGAGTCAACAGCCACTAAATAGCACAACTAGGATTCAGAAGTCCTCAATCCAGAAAATTTCTCATCCCTAATCCTCTTAGATTAAACCTCTCCCATAAATATTGTGCTTCTCTTAACTTCAGATTCACAAGCTAACTTTCTTCTTGCACAAAACATCCACAAACTGCAATGAGGCTAAAATAATAAAATTCTATTAAAGCACAGGTGATTCTGAGTTATGTAATATAAGAACTAGAGGTTGGATGCGGTGGTTCATGCCTGTAATCCCAACACTTTGGGAGGCCGAGGCAGACAAATCATGGAGTCAGGAGATCAAGATCATCCTGGCCAACATGGTGAAACCCAATATCTATAAAATACAAAAAATTAGCCAGGCGTAGCGGTGCACGCCTACAGTCCCAGCTATTCAGGAGGCTGAAGCAGGGGGAATTGCTTGAACCTGGGAGGCAGAGGTTACAGTGAGCCAAGATTGCACCACTGCATTCCAGCCTGGTGACAGAGAAAGACTCCATCTCAAAAAATAAATAAAGAACTAGACATTCCTTCTCCATTTTCCTCCTTTCTTTGGGTTTTGAAAACAGGTCACGGAATTGCACAAAAAAGGCATCACTAGATTAAGAACCTTCTCCCTCTAATAAAATGTTAAATGATGTTGAAAATTAATCATTCAGGCCATTTGTACTGGCCTCCTCAGAGAAGGATGGCACAGAAAATTTAATAAATTATTATCACAAAGACATTCCTATTAGAGATTTTGTATTTCATTACTAAGGCTTGCATTCAGTCTCAAAGTTTCCTGATGATGATTAATAAAACCCAACAATTTTGCCTCAGTAGTTACAGGGCTATGCTTTTAGTTATCTGCCAAAGAGTATTTTTGGGGCTTCATATTTAATTATTTTAGCTTTTGTTCTAATATAATAATTTATAATTTTTTTGTTTCTTGAAGACAACTAAAGACAGTATTTAATCATGAGCATTCCCTCCTGATGGAAACACACTGTAATGATATGTCTAGCTTAAAATAAATGTAACATAGTTGCTTATTAAATTTCAATGTTTAAGGATGATACAGTTTGAAACTGATAATGTAAAATAACAGCTTCCCTGGTTATGCCAACTCTAAAAATTACATGCAATATAACATATAAAATAAATGCTGATTTAAAAAAAAAAAAAGATTAGCAAATTATGATTTAAAAGTTTTCAGTTACCATTTGGTACTATTGACAAAAAAATCTCCTACAATTAAGACTGCAGAAAGTTTTAAACAAACTACATAACCAAATGACCTTGTGCTATAAATCCTGGGAATACACAGAACACCAATTAACTTAAAAGTCCTTTAGTTCACGATGATGAACTAAGATCTAAAGGCAAAGTGAGAAAGGGTTAAAAACCCTTCATGAGACACCCACAAAGCACTCCACAGATCCTTCAAAATACATATGTCAAAAGGAGAAAAGAGTTTTCAAGAAATTTTATATACACATACAAGGGGCAAAATGGCCATAATACAAGGGGCAAAAAAGGAAAAAAGGACATGATCATCAGAAACCAGATGTTTATTTTTGTTTTAAAGAAAAAATAACCTACTTTATTACAATGTATAACTAATTAGAAAACATTCAAGTAGATAGTATCTTCCCATCTACCTGATTAGAAATTAGCTAAATGAACCAGCTTCACTTTGTTACCAAAGCACTGAGAGTAAATATAGAGGAAATTACAGATGATAGACACACATGAGGCCTAATCATCTAGCAGCCACTAGAGACAAACCAAAGAAGCAAAGGAACAGAAAATAAAACTACCTATGAGCTTTAATGGGACTTTACAACAGCAGATCAGGATGCCAGTCACCGCTTATGCTGGCCAGCTTAAGGTAAAAAAGTTCAGCAAGGTGGATGGCCATCTGTAGCAAAGCTTACCTGGAACCAGAGGGGTAGGGCTGGAGACTGAGGTATGGTACCCAATGGAGGATCCCATGAGGTTTCGAGGTGGCACCAAACGAGCTGCCAACAGAGGAGGTGGAGTCCCCAACTGAAGTCGCTCAGATGCAGCAGCACCATGTTCACGAGAGTACATGGGCTGTCCTATAGAGGAAAGAATAGGAGGGCAGCTGGGAATGAGAGTCACAAGCTTCTCTTAGGTGATGATGTGCTTCCTGAGACTTTGAGTCAAAAACAGAGAAATTAAACCAACAGGAATAGAAGTATAGTAAGATGTTTCTGGGATTTTTCTAACTCAAGAAAGAACAGACATGCAACTGGTTAGGATCCATCAAGGTGTAAAGAAAAGAGTAAGAACTAGGTAGTATATATAACCTCCATCTTTTATGGTCTTAAGTGAAGAAAACTATGTGCTAATTTTATCCAAAGCTGAACAGTGAACTATATAAGGTTACTAGACAAAGGAGTCCTGAGCTATTAATTATACAGAATTTTTCCTTCCAATGAGATATGCAGGTATGAAAACTGTCATATCCATTAAGAAAACAACCCCCTCCAACCAACCCACATAATTTCAGGTTTACACAAAGTATGCTCCCAGTCTAAGGGCAGAAAAAAAGATAAAGACATTAAGAACAAATAAACCACTGCATGCATAACTTCGCAAAGAATAAGAAATGTTCCATAGAAAAAATTAAGATAGTGAAAATTCATTATCTCTGTGAGCACAAGGATTACAAATATAGAGAAAGGAAAAAGGACAAAAAAACAAACAAACAAAAAAAACAGATAAGCACACCAGCACAGCACTGGGCACATGAAATCATCCTGGATATTAAGAAGCACTTTTTGAAAGAAAGCACATTTAGGATTTATATACAGACTGATGCAAGAATGCACACACGATGAAGCCAAAATCTGAAGAACAGGATTAGAAAAGGACGAGGAATCAAGGAGCAAAATCCCTTTGGGTGTCCATTTAATATCTTTTTCACTGGCAACCCCAACTGAGACCTATTTGTAAAATTTAGTTCTATATCTGTCCAATGTCAGACATTTACTATGTGACACAAGACAAAATAAAGCAGATTTTGAATTTTTTTATACCAGGTGAAATGTCCTTAAAAGCTGTAAAATTCCTAAAGATTTTAAATATACCTTAATAGGACAGGCTACAAAGCAACCACTTGATTTCACAGTAAATCCTAAAGGGAATATAGAGAGGCTAAACCTCAGTACCATTTTCTTTCTGTATAAGAAGTAAAAGAGGTGTCCAACAGACACCACCCATCAAAGCTGCCTTTCACAGGGTTCCACCTCCCAGACTTACTCTGGGACCCAGAATCCTATCTATCTATGGCCTTGGGGTAGGTGACAATCCCTCCTTTTTAATGACCTGAATCTCTGACTTACTGATTATGGAATCTGTCAAGTAGTTTTCAACTCTCCCAGTAAGGATAATTAAACATGCTCAGACTGAGGGCAGGAAAAAAAGGAAAAGAGGAAGTAACAAATCATACTGTATAACTGTGTACTTAGCATTATCCTTACATTTTATATTTCTAATGGATGTTGGGCTTAATACTTAGGTGAGGTTGATCTGTGCAGCAAACCACCATGGCACACATTTACCTATGTAACAAACTTCTACATCCTACATATGTACCCTAGAACTTAAAAGTTGACGGAAAAAAAAAAAGGACATTTAAAAATGATCACTTAATCATTACACGGCAAAAACAATTTAATATATATTTTTTCTTTTTCCTTTTTTTGTTATCGAGACAGGGTCTGGCTCTGTCGCCTAGGCTAAAGTGCAGTGGCATGATCTGAGCTCATGACAACCTCTAACTCCTGGGTTCAAGGAATTCTCCTGCCTCAGCCTCCTGAGTAGCTGGGATTATAGGTGCCCGCTGCCACACCTGGCTAATTTTTTGTATTTTTAGTAGAGACAGAGTTTCACCATGTTAGCCAGACTGGTCTCAAACTCCTGACCTCAAGTTATCTACCCACTTTGGCCTCCCAAAGTGCTGCAATTACAGGCGTGATTGACCGCACCCAGCCCAATTTAACATATTCTCAATGAGGGGAACAAATAGTTGTAAGCACACAATCAATTGCAGAGAATTAACTGTGAAGAGTGATCCGTCAGCAGAATGAAGTAGTTGTTAAAGAGAAAAATGGGGCCAAGTGCAGTGGGCTCATGTCCATATTCCCAACACTTTGGGAGGCCAAGGTGGGAGGACTGCTTGAGTCCAGGAGTTCAAGACCAGCCTGAGTTACATACTGAGACTGTTTCTACTAAATATTTTAAAAATCAGCCATGCGTGGTGGCACACACTTGTAGTCCTAGCTATTTGGGAGGTTAAGGCAGGAGGATCACTTGAGCCAGAAAGTTGAGGCTATAGTCAGCCACAATCATGCCCACTGTACTCTAGCTTAGGTGACAGGGTGAGACGCTGTCTTTAAAAGTAAAATTTCTTAATTAAAAAAAATATATATATAGAAAAAGTACAGTCTTAGTCCATATGACTACTTTAAATGTATATCAATGTACTAAGCATATCTAATTAATAACAGCTTTCTCACAGTAAACTGGAAACCAAAAGGCTACTTTGCACAATGTCCACTTTTAAAACAACTGACAAAGAACATACAATTCAAATGCTTTAGAAAGGCCAAGCACAGTGGCTCACATCTGTAATTCCAGCACTTTAGGAGGCCAAGGCGAGTGGATCCCTTGAGCTCAGGAATTTGAGATCAGGCTGGGCAACATGGTGAAACCCTATCTCTACTAAAACTATAAAAATTAGCCAGGCGTGATGGTGCACACCTGTAATCCCAGCTACTCGGGAGGCTGAGGCACAAGAATCACTTGAACCCAGGAGGCAGAGGTTGCAGTGAGCCAAGATCGCACCACTGCTCTCCAGCCTGGGTGACAGAGGGAGACTCTGCCTCAAAATAAAAAACAAACAAATACCTCAAAAAGATGGCAATTAATTCAAATGTAGTCTGACTTTCTTAAACAATTCCTACTGAGGTCTCTAAATAGTACTTCTAAAAGAAACAGAGTTCTTTAGACAAAGGGCCAATTCTAGGTCAGGGCAGAAAATTTTTAAGATGAGCCTGGCACATCTTGGTATACCTCGTCTTCAGAGGCAAGATAGTTATCAAAATCCGGCATGTCAAAGATAAAAAAATTTAAAAAAAAACTATCAGAAGCCAACATGAAGAGGCTCTCACCGATTAAAAATGAGACAATCTGAACATCAAAGAAAACTATAAGGGGGTGAAACATATCAAATGTTAAATGTTAAAAATTCATGAGCTCATAATGATCTTAAAAAAATACAGGAGTTCCCTCTGGAAAAAACTAGGGAATCAACAGATTCTTAAAATTGATAAATGAAAGAAAATACACATACATCATGTCTGATCTGTAAAAACTACATTTCAGGTTAACCAAATGGTTGTTACAGTCAACTATATGGAATGCTAGCAATAAATGTAGAAGAAGCTATAGATTTAGAGTATCACATAAAACAGCAAATCCAGGCAATGATCAAAAATGGCTGTTGAAACTTACTAAGTTTCAAAATGAATGGATCACAATGAAAACACCTCTACAAACTAAACTATTTATAATACAGAAAGGAGACAACCAGACATTATAAACACTACAATGTACTGTGTAGGAAGTACATAACACCATCTATAAAATGTTCTTGCCAAAAAATGAATCTTATCAAATACCTAGCTCTAACTTCCAATTTACAGGAAATACAGGGGACAGAGAAATGTGTTAGATGACACCAGAAGATGAACCTGCCAAGTCTAGAATGTGAGAAAATTCTTTAGGACATATGATCTGTTTCTACAACAAATAAATGCCAAGGGAAAAAAAAAAGGAAAGGATGTGGCTATAAAGACTTAAGAAAGATACCAACTCAATGTAATGTATAACCCTGTTTGAATATAGCTTCAACTAAAAAAAGGTACGAAAGAACATTTATGATACAATTGGGAAATATGAAAACTAACTGGATATTTCACAAGCAAACTGTTACCAATTCTGGGGGGGCTGTGATAATAGTACCTGTGTGTATGTATGATTTTGTGTGCATGTATGTTTAATTATCTTTAAGGATACATAAGTTTTTACAGGTGAAATGCTGTTATGTTTGGGACTTATTCTAAAACAATCATGTCATTAAGCTGAATTTTGAGGAGCCATAGAAGAGAAAACAATAATAAAAACTAAGGCCAGGTATGATGGCTCAGATGTGATAATCCCAACACTTTGGGAGGCCAAGGTGGGAGGACTGCTTGAGCCCAGGAGTTCAAGACCAGCCTGAGTAAGATACTGAGACTGTCTCTACTAAATATTTTAAAAATCAGCCACTCATGGTTAGTAGAAATCAAACAGTGACTTAAAGAAAAAAATGAAAGCTTAAAGTACCCAAATGACAATTAAGTATTTCTTTGGATGAATATCTGTATGTTGAAATGGACAATATAACAATCCTAGCACTTCCGGAGGCTGAAGCAGGAGGACTGCTTGAGCCCAGGAATTTGAGAACAACCTGCGCAGCATGGGGAAACGTCATCTCTACAAAAAATTTTAAAATTAGCCAAGAGTGGTGACATGCACCTGTGCTCCCAGCTACTCATGAGGCTGAGGCAGGAGGATTGTTTGAGCCCAGAAGGGCAAGACTTCAGTGAGCCAAGATTGTGCTACTGTACTTGAGGCTGGGCGACAGAGCAAGATATGGTCTAAAAGAAAAACAACGCAGTACTAAAATAATCAAATCAGGGTAGAGAGTGATTGATAACTCCAAACTGCAAACGTCCCAAGTTCATGTTCCCATCTTAAATTGTTCATCTAGGTAACATACCTAATATCAATATTTTCACCTTCTTAATATTAACTTTAATCAGTTAAAGACAGTGTTTATTCAACCTAAAATTTTAGCCACTCTGTGTAATTTTCCTGATTTTGTCTTTAAGAGTATTCACAGGAAAAAAAAATGTAAGTTTTCAGTTAAAAACTCAAATCCAGAAAAAAACAAAAACCCAATACTGGCCATATTTATGTGTCTTCTCTATTAGAATACAAGGTCCCTGGCACACTTGGGAAGTTCCAA